ACACACACACACACACACACACACACACACACACACACACACACAGAGTTGAATTGGGTGGATGTGCGTATGAAATGGGGCTCCACTGAAATCTGTTAAAAACACAGTAAGTGGCTCTTTTGTGTGACTTGTTGCCTACACCACACACATGTGGATTCATCCGCAGCCTAAAATAGTCCCACCTAAACTGCCTTCTGTGTTTTTGAGTTTGATTTTCTGTTCTTGGGTTTTACTATTAACACCTCTTAATCTGTCTCCCTGGTTTCAGTCTTATTCCATTTACTTCAAAGCTGCGTGTGAGACGTCAGGAGTAACATCCCTCCTGAGTTATTGTATTCCAGCAGGAAAGCTGGAAAAGCGTGAAAAACTGGATTTGCTTTTCTAGTTAGTAAACACAGCCACTCATGCATCATTAGTAATACAGCATAATATTTGTGTTTTTGCACTTAAAAAACGCAGCTGCAGCTTGTTCGTGGATGGAGAATGCTCGGTGTCTGCCTATGAAAATTCTGACTGGGAACTTAGAAGTTCCGACTTCCTGGAAACCACCCTTAATCTCATTAACCTCCTGTGTTCCCTTTTTTCTCTGTTACTGTTTAGTCCCTCTTCTTCTCTGTTTAATGTTTGCATTTGCTTTCTTCCTATTTTACTTTGAAAGTCCATTTTCTTCACTGTCCTTTGTGAGTTTTACTTCCTGTCTTATTGATTCCCAGCTTGTTTGTTCTGCTCTGTCCTCTTCCTCATCAGGGTATAAATCATCCTGTCCTCCTTTTTATCGAGTCGTGTCTTCCCCTCTCTCCCCGAGCCCTCGATTTTCTTTACCTTTTGCTCCAACGTTTATGACACTTTGTTCACGTCCTTGAGTAACAGCTGTTAAAACTTTACAGACCAGCTGTTCAAAGGGTAATATCCTCAGCAGAGTGGTCTGAACACAGAAGTGATGAAGTTTAGGTTTCTTTGTGGCGTTCAGAAGTCAAACACAATCTTTGGTACCTGTTTGGCTGTGCTATGGTCTCCTGCTCTCTGATAGGCCAGGCCTACTTGGAAAGCCGCCTCCCCCTTCATGTGTTTGTCTTCAGCTGAAACAGACGTAAAAATAAAATCCACGTTATAAACACTAATCTTCTGTGATCACATGAAAGCTTCACTTTAAAGGATCTTTTAAGCAGAGTCGATCTGATGTCTGTTTAGCAGGCCTGACTTCTATTGAGGAATTTATCCATATATTGGTTTTAGTTTTCGAATTCAAAGTTCTTCCTGTGATTTTCAAAGTAATATCATCAGGATTTTTGTAAAAAGATACTTTAAAAATAATAATAATAGATGTTTGTTTATCAAATGCCCAGCAATAACCCTCAACCTTGTAGTAGGCACACCCATGGTATCAACTGAAAATACTTGTCTCGCATTCACAAGATTTTCAGACCTTTCTGACCTTTGACCTTTAGGTCACTGAGTGTGGTGTTATTAACATTTATATCGAACCACAAAGCTTTCAACATAAATTGTATATTTGTTAATTTCTTTGTTGTAGCACGAATGGGAGACATCAATATCAATAAATAATAAATTATCAATAAATAAACAATAAACATAAAGCTGTAAAAC